GACAGGAGCCTGAGCCAGGACCGAGTGTGGAGCCCAGCCTTACCCCACCTGCAGTGCCCCCCCCGTGTTCCTATCCCACTGAGCAAAGGCCCAAGCCCCACTCTTAATGGTAATATCCTGAGCTGTAGCCCAGACAGGAGAACCCCATCCCCCAAGGAATCAGGCCAGGGTCACTGGGAAGATAGCACTAGTGACTCGGAGCTGGAGAAGGGGGCTCGGGAACAGCCAGAGAAAGAGGCCCAGTCCCCAAGTCCCCCTCACCCCATCTCTGCAGGGCCCCCCACATTGTGGCCTGAAAGTGAGGTACATTCCAGCCCTCTCACAGACTCACACCTGGGTCCTGCCCGACCCAGCCTGGACTTCCCTGCTTCAGCCTTTGGCTTCTCCTCATTGCAGCCAGCTCCCCCACAGCTGCCCTCTCCTGCTGAACCGCGCTCGGCACCCTGTGGCTCCCTCGCCTTCTCCGGGGACCGAGCTCTGGCTCTGGCTCCGGGGCCCCCCACCAGAGCCCGGCATGATGAATATCTAGAAGTGACTAAGGCCCCCAGCCTGGACTCCTCGCTGCCCCAGCTTCCATCACCCAGCTCTCCTGAGGCCCCTCTCCTTTCCAGTCTGCCACGACCTGCTTCACCAGCCCTGTCTGAAGGCTCCTCCTCAGAGGCCACCACACCTGTGATTTCGAGTGTGGCTGAGCGCTTCCCTCCTGGCCTGGAGGCTGCGGAACGGGGGTCTGGAGAGCTGGTCCCAGGAATGGAACCAGCTGCCCACAGCATCTGGGATCTCACTCCTCTGAGCCCAGCACCCCCACCTTCACTGGACTTGGCCCCAGCTCCAGCACCAAGCTTGCCTGGAGACACGGATGATAGCACTCTGCCCTGCCGCCTGGAGTGCACAGGGACCCCCACCAAGAAGCCAAGCCCCTCCGAGAGTCCCTCTGGGGATTGTGCCGCCAACGGCCCAACTGAAACCAGCCCCAACCCCCCAGGCCCTGCCCTGGCCAAGGCTGAGAAAGAAGCAGCTGAGTCCTGCCCTGCCTGGGAACGTGGGGACTGGCCTGAGGGAGCAGAGAGGAGTTCCCGGCCTGAGACGCTGCTCTCCCCTGAGCAGCCACTGTGCCCTGGAGGGGCTTCTGGAGGTCAACCCAGGAGTGTCTCCCCTGAGGTTGAGGCTGGGCCCCAGGGATGTGCTGCTGAGCCTCGGCCACACCGTGGGGAACTCTCCCCATCCTTTCTGAACCCGCCTCTGCCCCAATCCACAGATGAAGGTGACCTCTCAAGTGAAGAAGCTCGGCTAGTAGGAAGAGGGGGACGGCGCCGGGCTGGGGGCCCAGGGGCCACAGGGGGCCCATGCCCTGTGGCTGATGAGACACCCCCAACATCAGCCAGTGACTCAGGCTCCTCACAATCAGATTCTGATGTTCCACCAGAAACTGAGGAGTGTCCATCCATCACAGCTGAGGCAGCCCTCGACTCAGATGAAGATGGGGACTTCCTGCCTGTGGACAAAGCTGGGGGGGTCAGTGGAACTCACCATCCCAGGCCTGGCCATGACCCACCCCCTATCCCTCAACCAGACCCCCGCCCATCCCCTCCTCGCCCTGATGTGTGCATGGCTGACCCCGAGGGGCTCAGCTCAGAATCTGGGAGGGTAGAAAAGCTACGGGAGAAGGAGAAGGCACAGGGGAGAGTAGGGCGCAGGGCCCCAGGCAGGGCCAAGCCAGCATCTCCTGCCCGACGTCTGGATCTTCGGGGAAAACGCTCACCCACCCCTGGTAAAGGGACTGCAGATCGAGCATCCCGGGTCCCACCCCGACCACGCAGCACTCCAAGCCAGGTCACCCCAGCAGAGGAAAAGGATGGACACAGCCCCATGTCCAAAGGCCTAGTCAATGGACTCAAAACAGGATCATGTAAGTATAACATGAAAGGTGGGAGAGTTGGTGGGTTGGGGTTGGGTGTGGCTGGTCAAAGACTCCAGGAGTAGAGGGACTGTGGGAGGAAGAAGATTGCTAAAAGTTTTCTACTTTACCTCTCCAATGAGTCCTGGCTTATCTCTACAGCAGCCTTGGGTTCCAAAGGAGGCTCTGGCCCCCCTGTGTACGTGGATCTCGCCTATATCCCAAATCATTGCAGTGGCAAGACTGCTGACCTTGACTTCTTCCGTCGAGTGCGTGCATCCTACTATGTGGTCAGTGGGAATGACCCTGTCAATGGAGAGCCGAGCCGGGCTGTGCTGGATGCGTTGCTGGAGGGCAAGGCCCAGTGGGGGGAGAATCTTCAGGTGAGTGGCAAGGGATGCTGAAGAGGAGGTCTGGTCAAAGCTTACTCAGAGGCAACAGTGGAACACAGTCTCTATTCATAAAAGGACTGAGCCCTTTCTGTGGGCAGTGCGATTACTTCCTAGACCATCAGGCATGATGATCCATCCTCCTCACTTCTCTTCACATTGTCACATCAGGCACTTCTTGTCTCCCTCCTAGGTGACTCTGATCCCTACTCATGACACAGAGGTGACTCGTGAGTGGTACCAGCAGACTCATGAGCAGCAGCAACAATTGAACGTCCTGGTCCTGGCGAGCAGCAGCACCGTGGTCATGCAGGATGAGTCCTTCCCAGCCTGCAAGATTGAGTTCTGAGAGAACTACTCTCCTTTCCCCAAGGATCTGCTCCCCCAGCTCCCTTAGAGAATGGCTATTGCTGAGTCCTTTGGGGTTGAGGGACGTGGGAGCTGGGGTGGGAGAGACGGGACAGGATGTCTTATTGTGGAAACTTGGGCTGGGCTAAATGGAAGGGTTGTCCCTCCCCCTCATCCATACCTGAAAGGAATTTCAAAACTAAAGGCAACAGGGAGAGGGTAGAAGGAGGGTAAAAATTAGGATAGGAGATCATCTGATGCCTGAGAACCCGAGCACCCCTTCTCTTAACACTACCAAGAGTTTGTATTGTGGGGGGAGGAAGGGTGGGTCTCAGCAACCTCCTCCCTCATGGAGGGAGATCATATCCCCAGACCCGGGGACCTCTTTATCTCTATTTATTTAGCATCCTAAGGAAGGATCTCCAGTAGTAATTTATGTGACCTGGGGGGCAGGATTCTTTCAGTGAGGTGCCCAGAGCTGCGCTCTTTCCTCCATCTCCCAATCCCTTACCCACCAGGGTCTGGGTTCCAGCAGGGGTCCAGGGGTCCACCGCTGCTACACTGTCCCACTGCTTCCCTCCATATCTGAATGTCTCAGTCCAAAACTTGAAGCTCTTTTGACCAATAGACTGGTGAGAGAAGAAAGTTGCCTATCCTCCCAGTCCCTGCTTCATACCATTCACATCCCAGAGCTGTGCTCAGACCAGGCCTATTGGGCAGCACAAAGGGGCAAGGAGAGCCCAGCCCCAATCCCTGAATTCTTCCAAGCTCCCTGACCTTTTGAAGTTTTCACCCACCCATTCCAGTTATCCTCATCCCTTTTCGTCCCCTGCTTGGCTTCTCTGCATGTGGTCATCTGCTGTGGCCTGGTGTGTAATGGGTTAAAAATAAGCCACTGCCTGACATCCCAACATTTGACACCCCAGCAATGTGTGACTCCCCCAACATTCCACTGTGCCATCCTGCAGCTGAAATGGGAACACTTGTTGCCTTTCCAGCCCCAAACTCTTGAACAGAGGATTTGGGAGGTTGAGGCCATGCCAGAGAACTTGGGGAAGATGAGAGGGAGGAAGGGAAGAAGGAGACAAAGCTGAGCTAAAGCTGAACTCCTACTGAGTAAGATGAAAACTGGCTGGAAAAAAAAAAAAAAAAAAAACCACCCCAGGAGAGGACCTCTCCCCAAGCAAGCCAATGAGCAGCCCTGCCAGACTACTGCCGGACTGAGAAATCCAGACGCTCGCCAGGGCTCTCTCTGCCAAATGACTGTGTGGAAACCAAAATGAGCCGGCCTGTGTTCTTCCTAGCTCCCACCCTCCCTGTGCTGCTGTGCTCTGCTCCTCCCCACACTTCCCTGCTATAGTTCCCAGCTGCTGTAATGGAGCCGCCTCCAATTCTAACAATAAAATCAAGTTCATTACAGATGCTGTAGTGCTGCTTAGGCTTTTTCTGACTGTATACATTGCTTAGTTGCTGGCCCTTGGCTTCTACCTCTCTGCTTCTCCCACCACTGTCATTTATCTCAATGTCTTTGATAACTGAAAGCAGCTCCAGGACCCAGGGAGGCCAGAGAACATAGGGTAGATAAAGGGAGAAAAAGACATGGGGAGCCAGCTAATTTCTGAAAATGAGAACACCAGAGTATGAGTAAGAGGGGCCTAGGATGGGGAGATACATTTGGTTTCGGGGAGGGAAGAGGGGCAGGGGTTCTAGGAAGGGGATATACCTACTTTGGGGTCAAGAGCCAAGGACTGAATAACCACCATTAAATACCTGGATAAGGGAACACCAAACAGGCAAACAGTTGAGAAGCCCTAAGAGATCCAGAGTCTAATGAGGTTGTAAAGAGCACTACCTGTGCAGTTAGGACTTGTACTGAGTAAAGGCTGGATTTTGCCCTGCAGGGAAACCCTTTATAGTCCTGGGTATGTCAGGAGAGGCCAGGTTGAGAACGTAAATATCTGGGAAAGGTGATATTGCAGTCCTCCCAGTGTTCTGGGCTTTCCCAATATAAATATGTCAAGGAGGCAAAGAAAGACCATAACCCCTTTATATCAACTCCTCCAGACACTCCAAAGCATCAGAGTGAAAAACTAAGAGGGTGATTCCAAGGGTCTGGTGAGAAGGCAAGTACTCAGTGGTGCTTCACAGAGATAGAAATTCTCTCCCTGACACTACCACTCAGATGACATTTTGGGATGGTGGGCTGACTGCCACAGAGACCTCTGGACCTTCTAGGATGCCTGATCTCTTTATCTTATGGTCCCTTTCCACTCAACTACAACAGCTTTTGAGTAGTTCCGATTAATTCAGTCACAGACAGGATGGGTTTATATTCTTGAACTCAAAAGGACATCATCACCACCATCACCACTCTTATTATTTCATATTTATTGAGCACTCATAATGTTCCGGCCACCCCACTCCAGTGACTGCATTACTCCTCCTACCCACACCCATTCCCATCCCTATATCTTTGGGAAAAGCTTCATAATCACACCTGACCCTAAACACACAATGATAAAAGGAAATACCTCTTGGGGACCCTGGAGTGTTTGGTCTTTGGCCAGTCTGTCCCTGGCACCACTACAGAAATATATATAATCTTTGCTCATGTCTGTACAATATTGATCTCTGCAGATTGCTTAAAATAGAACCTGATTTTCTCTACTACATCATCTTTTAAGCCAAGTAGCCCCACAACAAAAGGAGGCCCAGCTTCACAGACTGGCCAAGAACCCCCAGAGCATTTTAAGTAGTTATTCTTAAATTTTCACAGCAATCTAATACCTATTTCTCCCTGGAGCTATTGGGACAGGTCTGAGGCAGAGGGGGAATTTGGGATGATAAACAAAACACCCATAAGCCCAATCTAAAGATTAGTGGCCACAGTGGATGTTTGTTGGGAAGGGGACTCTCTTTTTTCCCAGACATTTCAGACAGACATGCTGGGCCCACCTGAGGAGTGCTAGCAAACACAAGAGTCCTCCTGAATGCACATATGGTCTAAGGGTACCTTGTGAAATTGTGAATATTTCCCCAGAAAAGTGGAGACCTTGAAGCCCTCTTTTGCACTTGCTGTCCCTGGATGGTGTCTTCAGCAGTTAAATGGCATTTCCTTTAACAATCTGGAATTTCCTGGGATGCTCAGAGGAGGTTGGGTAATGATAGATCAGCCCACCCCTTGATGGAAATCCTATTCCAGTCTAATGGTCAAGTGAGGAGTCAATGGCTGCTTTGAGCATCAAACTGGCTCCTTCACAAGCCCAGCTCCGGCACAGTTCTTGGCTTCATGCCAAGAGGGCTGCTTCCTCAGACACCTCTGGTGAGATCCAAGGTCTTACACTGGCAGGTGAGTTAGCCAACAGAAGAAGTTGCTAGCTCAAATAGCTGGTATAGTGTGATACCACTAATGAGAACATGATTAATCACATGTTGCTGGTGGGAGGGATGAGTACTGGTCATGGGCTAAAGACTGGCTCTGAGGGTTTGGATCACTAGATGGATACTGGGCTTGGGGAATACCCTCTCCAGGCAGCTGGTCAATCACCTCAGAGGCCACCCAGGACTCCTGATTAATCTCAGGGACTTCCTGGACCTGCGGATCATCCTCTCCAGGGAACTCTTGGGATGGTTTATCAGCCTCAAGAATGTCCTGAGACAACAGATTGATTGCAGAAGCCTCTTGGGTCAGCCTGCTAACCTCTGCAAAGAACTCTTGGCATGGCTGGCTGAGCTCCTCAGGGGTCTCTTGGGTTGGCTTGCCAACTTCCATATGGATTTCCTGGACTAGGTCACCAACCTCTCGAGGGAACCCATGGGCCAGCCTGCCAACTTCCACAGGGACCTCTTGGGATGGATGGCTGACCTCAGGGTTCTCCAGGCAAAGCTGGCAAGCTTCATCAGAGATTTTCTGGCACAGGTGGCTCGCCTTCTGGCATGGCTGGTGGATCTGAGGAACCTTCTGACATATCTGGTCAACATTGTCATGGCTCTTCTGGCATGGCTGGCTGATGTCAGGAACCTCCTGGCATGGCTGGCTGACCTCTTCAGGGATGTTCTGACATGACTGGCTGATGTCAGGAACCTCTTGGCAGGGCTGGCTGATCACCTCAGCAACCTCCTGGCATGGCTGGCTGGTTTCCACAGGTGGTTCCTGTGAAGACTGGCTTGGTTCAAAAGGCTCTTGCACCCCTTCAATGGGGAACTCTTGTTCTCCATTCCTAGGGAGCATCCCAAGGCTTTGATGTTCTTCAATCATGTGTGAACTTACAGAAGGTTGATCACTAAAGCCAAAAGGGCAGTTACCATCCACTGCAGTGGGGGAGGAAGGACCAGCACTGGACACAGTGCTGGAAGGGCCACTGCTATCTGTAAAACAAAGTCAGGAGACCAAGTCAGGCAACTTGGAAGAGTAGGCTCTATTCTGTGTATGCTGTTCAAATGCTAGAGTCTGAATTCTTCCCAAGCTATGCAGAGATTGCTCAATTAGCCCAGCTCAGGGAACTGTTACTCTGACCTAATGTAAGCTACATGAGTACACAGGAGCACTAAGGTACATCTAAGACTTCAGGAGAGAGTGATGAGGCCCACTTCATCCAGTTCTTTCACAAATATACTCCCAATGCAACTCTGAATTCACATGGTCTACTTCCTACTTTGGAAGCATACCAAGCTGTATCCCAGTGGTTCATAATGAGATAATTTTTAAAAATACGAATTTCAAGGTTCCATCTTTAGAGATTCTAATTCTGTAGGTTTAGGGTAAACATGTGGGGTGGAGAGGGAATGAGGTCTAATGGCCTTTTGTTTTTTGTTGAAATACTCCCAATTAAATTTTGTTGAAATACTCCCAATTAAATCCGAGGTACATCTTTTGTAAAGAATCATTTTTTTTAAAGCAATCAATGTATCTCTGGGGCAAAGGTAATCATTGTTTATAGCCCGAGAGGCAGTTAAGCAGGAGAATGTAGAAAAATATTGTGAATGAAAACAGCAGGAAGGAAAATTACCCGAAGATTGAAGACTTCCATGGAATCTCTAAATGGCAAAGGTTCTTAATTAATCTTCCGGGGGGGGGGGCAGTCACTGAACCCTTTGAAACTCTAATGACAGTCATGGGCAATCTTCCCAGAAAAATATACATATGGATATTCATACAAATCTTCACAAATAATTCCTGGGGTTCAAAGACTTTACCCTGAAATCCATCCATGGATCCAAGGTCAAGACCTTCTAAGTCTTGGGACACACAATGTTAGAGGCTTGTGGATGTTACAGATATATACAACACAAAAATTAATTATCCCATATTGACGGTAATAAAATGAAGGGCTCAATTACACTGGGGGACAATTCCTACCCCAATCTCTACTACTTCATTGACCTCTAGCAGGGGACTAATCTACTTTCCATTTTGTAAATGTATTTATTAATGGTATTCTAATTTTATATTCAAAGTATTCTAATATAAATAATGATCAATTTTGGATATAGGGGGCACCTGAATATCTTGTCATCAAAAAGAACCTGGGAAAGCTGGCAAGCCTGAGCCGCAAAGGCTGAATCAGTCATTGAGTTTAGGGTATGCCAGTTTTCTCTTTTCTATAAAGGGCCACAGGTGGCATGCTTCAAGCAGAAGAAAGAGGAACATGGTTTGGGCCAACAGGGCCTATTTACGGCAGACAAACCCTCAAGAAAATATTTACCAATGAGGCTACATACCTCATACTGAGTCAAAGATGTGATAGTAGATTAAAAACAAGAAGAAAAAGAGTTACCCAAGGATAGAAGTAGCCTTAATATCCACTTAGTGGTTTGATTCAGGCAAATCAAAGAGGTCAGACAGAAGCAGAAGCAGGAAGGGCACCTGGGTGGCTCAGTCGGTTAAGTATCTGCCTCTGGCTCAGGTTATGATCTCAGGTCCTGGGATGGAGCGCCACATGGGACTCCCTGCTCAGCAGGGGGTCTGCTTCTCCCTCTGCCCCTCTCACCTCATGCTTTCTCTCTCTCTCCCTCTCAAAGAAAGAAAGAAGCAGAAGCAGGAGAAAGATAAAGTTTCCAGAGGCAGTCAAAGCAATCTTGAGAAAGAAGAACAAAGCTGGAGGTATCACAGATTTCAAGATATACTACAAAACTGTAGTAATCAAACAGTACTGACACAAAAAAAGACTCATAGATCAATGGGACAGAATAGAGACCCATGCTCATATGGTCAGTTAATCTATGACAAAGGAGACAAGAATATAGCAGGGGGAAAAGCAGTCTTTAGTAAATGGTCCTGGAAAAACTGGATAGCTACATGCAAAAGAATGAAACTGAACCACTTTCTGACACCATACACAAAAATAAACTCAAAATGGATTAAGGACCTAAATGTGAGACTTGAAACCATAAAAATCCTAGAAGCAAGCACAGGCAGTAATCTCTCTGACATTAGCCGTAGCAATATTTTTTTAGACATGTCTTCTGAGGCTAAGGGAAACAAAAGCAAAAATAAACTACTGGGACTATATTCAAATAAAAAGCTTTTGCACAACAAAGGAAACCACCAACAAAACAAAAAGGCAACTTAATGAATGATAAAAGATATTTGCAAATGTTACATCCAATAAAGGGTTAGCATCTAAAATATATAAAGAACTTGCACAACTCAACACCAAAAACCCCCAAATAATCCAATTAAAAAGTGGGTAGAGGACCTGAACAGACATTTTTCCAAAGTAGACATACAGATGGCCAACAGACACATGCAAAGATGTTCAATATCACTAATCATCAGGGAAATGCAAATCAAGACCACAGTGAGAAATCACCTCACACTTGTCAGAACAGCTAGAATCAGAAAGACAAGAAATAACATAGAACGCTTTATGTTAACTAACTAGAATTAAAATAAAATCTTAAAAAAAAAAAGACAAGAAATAGCAAGTGCTGGAGAGCATGTGTAAAAAAGGGAAAGTCTGTGCACTGCTGGTGGGAATGTAAATTGGTGTAGCCACTGCAGAAAACAGTATGGAGGTTCCTCAAAAAATTAAAATAGAATTGCCATATGATCCAGTAATTCCACTACTGAGTATTTGCCCAAAGAAAATGAAAACTAACTTCAAAAGATACATGCATCCCTATGTTTATTGTAGCATTATTTACAATAGCCAAGTTATGGAAGTAGCGCAAGTGTTCACCAACAGATGAATGGATAAAGAAGATGTATTTAAAAAAAAAAAAAAGATACACACACACACACACACACACACAGAGGAATATAACTCAACCATGAAAAGGATAAGATTTTACCATTTGTGACCATATGGATGGACCTAGAAGATATTATGCTAAGTGAAATAAAGGAAGACCAACACCACTGGTTTCACTTATATGCAGACTCCAAAAAGAAAAAAAAAAGAATAAACAAACAAATAAAAAGCAGAATCAGACCTAAAATACAGAGAATAAGCTGATGTGAAGGGGTGGTGAGAAGCTGGGCAAAATGGGTGAAGGGGAGTAGGAGAAACAGGCTTCCAGTTATAAAATGAGTAAGTCACAGGAACAAAAGGTACAGCACAGGGAATAGAGTAAATGGTACTGTACTAGCATCGTATTGTGACAGATGGTAGCTACACTTGTGGTGATCATAGCATAATGTATAGTCTTATTGAACTAGTATGTTGTATAACATTGCATATCAACTATACTCAAATTAAAAAATGTATGTATTATTAAAAAAAAAGATTTCCAGGGGCATAAAACCTGTAAACATTCCAGGAGAGAGATAAAAGGAGCAATGGCAAGGTGAATGTAAGGTAATATGAAATTCAGTGGAAGAGCTCTTGGTGTCGGAACAGAATGTTTCTTCTGCATACAGGGTGCCAATTCTGCAACTGTTTAACCCAATGCTGAAATATGAATCTCTGCTTCACTCCTATCCAATGAAATAATAAAAGCCATGTTTGATTTTTAGTTATTTTCTGGAGGCAGGTTGAATAAGGAAAGGATTGGTGTCTCTGGTCCTTATCCTCCCTCTGTCACCAGGATCTCCCCTTCCCTACAATTACACTAGGAAGTCCCTGTGACTCCACTATTCACACTGTTACCAAGGAAAATTAGTGATAGGCTAGAGATATTATTTGTTCATTTGTTTATTTATTTATTTATTTAGAGAGCACCAGTGGGAGGGGCAGAGGTAGAGAGAGAGAGACTCTGAAGCAGACTTGATCTCACAACCCTGAGATGTGACCTGAGCCTAATACAAGAGTCAAATACTTAACCAACTGTGCCACCTGGGGGACCTTGTGATAGGCTAGAGGTTATAAAGAGATGAGAAAAAGCAGCACTTCAATTTGAACAGCTGAGAACAGACAACTTGAGAAAAGGGATATGTAGAAAGTAGTAGCAAATTCTAGTTTCCTTCTCCCAGCTTTTCTATATACTCAGGTATCCTCTCAAGTCATCTGTACTTGAGAACGGTATAGAGACCAAATGGGAATCTGAGGAGAATGAAGTTTCTGTCCTTTGTTCCCCCAAAGTACCCTCTGGGACACTACCTTTTAGGAGCCTCTCCAATGAAACAGAGGGGTCATAGAGAATGGAGATAATGAGATAGAGTAAACAGATCCTCCCTTCACCTTGGAAACAGATGAGACTGGTTTCCCTACTGGTTATTCTTAGTCTTTCAACCCTCATCTTCATTTCCCTCATGAGACAGGTCTCTCACTCACCAATCCCTCCATACCTCTTGGCCTTTCTCCAGGCAGTTCCAAAAGGATTACTTACACCAAGGGGGCTTCTCAGAGCGCTGCCGGAGTTGTAGGGTGGGTGAATGAAGAGTACGGGGTGGGGAAAATAGGCTATCTGAGGCTTGGTTGCTGTGCATAGAGTCAAAGAGGGCTGGATAGACAGGGGAGAAAGAAGGAAGGAAAAAAAGAGTTTGAGGAAGCATTCAAGAGTCACCATTCTCAACATAAGTCAAAACCAACTTACACATTCTCAGGCTGAAAAGTAGCATTTCCTAAGGATCCTTCATTTAAACTGTTTTTAATATTTTAAAATTTATATTACGAATATTTTCAAACATTTTTTGCTCTCTCCCCATTCCCCCTTTTTAAAAAAAGTTGTTGGAAGACCAGTACAATTCATACTGATATCTTCATCTCCTATATAGTGTGTTAACATTTTGCCATATTTGTTTCACCCATTTCTTCATGCGGAAGTTCTTTTTAAAAAATGACAGACATTATGAAACATTTTACCTCGAAATACATCAATATGCATCTCTAAAATATAAGGAATTTTTCCTACATAGCCACATACCATTAACAAACGTTATAAAATTTAAAAATACCCTAATATCATCTAATACCCAATTCATATTTAAATCTCCCACAATTATTCCCCAAATGTCTTTTATTTTTTATTTTTTAAAAGATTTTATCTGTTTATTTGACAGAGAGAGAGAACAAGCAGGGGAAGCAACAGAGGGAGAGAGAGAAGCAGGCTTCCCGCTGAGCAAGGAGCCCCATATGGAGCTTGATCCAAGGACCCCAGGATCATGACCTGAGCTGAAGACAGACACTTAATCAACTGAGCCACCCAGGTGCCCCCCAAAAATGTCTTTTATAGTAATATCCAAATATGAACCATGCATTGCATTTTGTTACATCTCCAAATTCTCTTTTAATCTAGCATATTATTTCCCCCAACACCATTTATTTTCCTCAAAGTGATTTTTTTTTCAAAGTGATTTTTTAAAAATTTCTTCATTTATTTAAGAGAAAGGGCAAGCATGGGGTGCCTGGGTGGCTCTGTGGGTTAAGCCTCTGCCTTCAGCTTAGGTCATGATCTCAGGGTCCTGGGATTGAGTCCTGTATCAGCCTCTTTGTTCTGCAGGGAGCCTGCTTCCTCCTCTCTCTCTTTCTGCCTGCCTCTCTGCCTACTTGTGATCTCTCTCTGTCAAATAAATAAAATTTTTTAAAAAACAGAGAGAGAGAGAGCAAGCATGTGCACATGAGCAGGGGGAGGGCCAGAGGGAGAAGGGGGAGAATCTCAAGCAGACTCCCTGCTGAGCATGGAGCTGATGCTGGGCTTGGTCCCATGACCCTGAGATCATGACCTGAGCCAAAATCAAGAGTTGAATGCTTAACCAACTGAGTCATCCAGATGCCTCTCAGAGTGACTTTTTGAAAAGAACAGATCAGTTGTCTCATAGAACTATCATGTCTCACATTCTGGATTTGTCTGATTGCTCCCTCATAGAATCATTTAACTTGTTTCATTATTGCTTATAGTGCCTATAAACTGGAAGTTATATATAAAAGTTTTGATTGGATGATTCAATTTAAATAACTTTGTTAAAAATACCAAATAGGTAATCCTATGTACTTTTATATCATATTAGAAGGACAAAATATCTCACTGTCCCATTAAGTAAAGCTAAGTTTACTAACTGGGTTAAAGTGGTAGCCACAAGATCTCACCATAAAGTTTTCCCCTTCTGATTAGAGGTAATCCTTCGGCACCATGCAACCCCATCAACATCTTGCCTAATTGTGTTAGTATCCATTGATGATTCTTAATTATTTAAGTGGTGATTTTCTATTTTTTAATTTTTTTAAAAATTATTATTAACATATATTATTTCCCCCAGGGATATAGGTCTGTGAGTTGTCAGGCTTACACATTTCACAGCACTTACCATATCACATACCCTCCCCAATGTCTATAACCCAACCACCCTCTCCCTACCCCAGCAACCCTCAGTTTGTTTTGTGAGATTAAGAGTCTCTTATGGTTTGTCATGATTTTCTACTTTTTTAAAAGATTCCACTTATTCATTTGACAGAAAGAGAGAGGGAGAGAGGGAACACAAGCAGGGGGAGTGGGAGAGGGAGAAGCAAGCCTCCTGCTTAGCAGAGAGCCTGATGTGGGGCTCAATCCCAGAACCCTGGGACCATGACCCGAGCCAAAGGCAGACACCCAACAACTGAGCCACCCAGGCACCCCAAGTGGTGATTTTCTAATTCTATCAATCCTCCAACATTTATTAGCTGGTATATTTTCTGTAAAAAAGAGCTTTCCCTCTGGGGCTATTTGATTACACTGAAATGCAGTTCCTACTGAAAAGGTAGAATAAGTGTTTATTTCCTTTTAATTAGTTTTCAGAGAAAAGAGGTGGTAAAAAGTATTTTCCAAATGTGGCAGATTTTAAAAATTTATTTTTATTTATTTAATTAATTAATTTATTTAATTTTTATTATTTTATTTTTGCTTTCTTTTTTGTAGAATTATTTACTTATTATTTATTATGAGTTTGTGGATTTTTATATTTCAGTGTACTTTAGTCAATTATAGTAACTTATTATTTTGAATGCTAAAATGTTCCAGTTGTATCACTTCTTGGCCTTTTGGCTAAGATCAAGTGTAAAATGTTCCAGTTGTGGTAAGAGCCTCTTCAGGCTTGACTGCTTCCTCGCTTCTGTTACAACATGCCTCAGGATGACCTTGTACTTTCCTTGCCCTAGACCATGTATTCTCAACAAACTTGGTTCTTGGTAAGGGCAAAAAAATTTTTAGGTATTCCATTGGTTTGTGGTCCATCACATAGCCATGGACCATAAACAGACATATATTGTATATTTGTGGTATTAAAATTTCCTGTGGGAAGGTTACTAAGGAAAAGAATGTCTAAAAAGACTGAAGGGTGGTGTGAACATGGGATGTCTTTCTACCTATTTAGATCATCTTTATTTCAGCAATGTTTTGTAGTTTTCAGTGTACAAGTCTTTAAACTTATTGGTTAAATTTGTTCCCAGGTATTTTATTTTGTGGATGCCATTATAAATTATATTGTTCTCTTAATTTCCTTTTTGGACTTTTCATTGCTGGTATAGGGACACAAAATTGATTTTTGTGAGTTGATCTTGTCTCTACAAACTGTGCTGAACTTGTTCATTAGTTCTGGAAGTTTTTTTGAGGATTCTCTGCATTTTTTCTACATAGGACCATGTCCTCTGCGAATAGAGATAGTTTTAATTTCTCCTTTCCAATTTCTAAGCCAATTTTTTTCTTGCCTAATTGTTCTGCCTAAATTACCAGTACAATATTGAACAGCAGTGGTAAATGTGGGCATCCTTGCCTTGTTCCTGATCATAGGGGAAAAACTTTCAGTCTTTCACCAATGAGTATAATGTGCACTATGGGTTGTTCATAAATGCCCTTTATTATGTTGAGGAAGTTCCCTTCCATTCTTAGTTTGCTGGTTGTTTTTATCATGAAAGGGTAGTGGATTTTATCAAATTAAGATTTTATCAAATCTTAATTTTACCAAATTAAGATGGTTTTGAGTTTTTCCCTTTGTTTTTTTAATATAGTATATTACACTGAGTGATTTTCTTATTTTGAATCACCCTTGCATTCTTGAGATAAATCTCACTTTGTCAACTTGCTGTTAGATTTGGTTTGCTAGTATTTTATTGGGAGCTTTTGCTTCTGGGCCACCTGGCTGGCTCAGTCGGTTAAAGATCTGATTCTTGACCTCAACTCAGGTCTTCAACTCAGTGTCATGAGCTCAAGCCCCTCATTGGGCATGGCACCTACCCAAAAAAATACAGAGAATTTTTGCTTCTATATTCATAAGGGATTCAGGTCTGTTGTTTTCTTACGGTGTCTTTGTCTGGCTTTCATATCAGGGTAATGCTGGCTTCTAGAACTGTTTGGTAGATTTCACCAGTGAAGCTATCTTATCCTGGACTTTTCTTTGTTAAAAGTTTTTCTACTGATTCAGTCTTTTTCTGTGTTATAGATTATGTTCAGATTTTCCACTTCTTCTTGGGTCAATTTTTATAGTTTATGTGCTTCTAGGAATTTGTTTATCTAGGTTATGTAATTCATTGGCATGTAACTGTTCATAGTGCTCTTTTTAAAAAAATTCTATTTACTTATTTGAGAGAGTGAAAATGAGCACATGCGTGCATGAGTGGGGGCGGAGCGGGAGGGGGGGCGGAGGGGACAGGGAGAGGGAGAAGCAGACTCCTCACTGAGCAGGGAGCCAGATGTGTGGACCTTGGGAACACGACCTGAGCTGAAGGCAAATTCTTAACTGACTGAGCTACCCAGGTGCCCCCATAGTGCTCTTATAATTCTTTTTATTTCTGTAGGTCAGTAGCAATGTCCCCACTTTTATTCCTAATTTTGGTTATTTTGCATCAACACTCAATTTTTCTTAGTCTGCTAAATGTTTGTCAATTTTGTTTATTTTTTTTCAAAGAACCAACTTTTGGTTTTGCTGATTGTGTTTTCTATTCTTTACTTCTTTGTTCTAATCCTTATTATTTCAATCTTTCTATTAGCTTTGGGTTTAGTTTGTTCTTTTCTTACTTCTTTAAGGTATACAGTTAGGTTTTTGGTTTATGATCTTTCCTGGGTTTAAATGTAGGTGTTTACAGCTGTAAATTTCTCCCTTAGCACTGATTTTGCTGCATTCCATAACTTCTGGAATGTTGCATTTTCACTTTCATTCATCTCAAAGTATATTCTAATTTCCCATGTGATTTCTTCCTTGACCTGAAGAAGGTTAAGAATGTGTTTAATTTCAACATATTCCTTTCATTAATGATTTCTAGCACCATTCTCCACTGTGCTAGAGAGGATATTTTGTATGATTTCAATCTTTTAAAATTATTTAACTTTTTTTTGTGGCCTACCATATGGTGTATCATGTGCACTTAAGAAGAATCTGTATTTTGTTGGTGGTAGGATGTTCTATAGGTCTCTTAGGTTTAGCTGGTTTAGAGTGTTACTGAAACTCTCTGTTTTCTTACTGATCTTCTGTCTGGTTGTTTTATCTATTATTAAAGGTGAGATATTAAAGTCTACAACTGTTATTGTAGAAC